GTTTTTCGTGGCTTTCGATCGTGCTGTTTCTGCAATTTGAGATTTCTTTGTGTTTCCAATGGGATCAATGTTCATTTCGATTTGATGAATGAGAATTTGCATGTTCTTCATTAACAGTTGATGTGCATCTGCTATACTAGAAGAGAACCCTTCTGAACATAGCATTGAACAGCAGACTTGTGCAGTGGAATGGAGGAGAACCTCATTCACCAGTATTGAATGGATCCATAGCATGTCTACACAGTGTCCACTTTTTATGTAATAAAGTGTTTGACAAGATCTTGAAGTTCAGGGGAAGTGAGATTGTAGATTTGATTCCTTGCTTCTGCTCGGTATAAACACTCAATTTAGACTATGTTTATTTCACGGAAAACGAATAATTTAAACAACGTTTTTCTCAAAATGATCGCTTGTATTGCTTTAAATAATTAGTCGATGAAATTTTTTTCATTATCGACAGCAATTTATATGTAAATATTTTTGTGAACAATAGAAATATCTTTCGTTGATTCATTAATATAAGCAATACAAACCATCATTATTAGAGAAATATTTTTAAATCATTTATTTTTCTTGAAATAATTGCACCCTTATTATACAAGAAAATAATCCATTGCAAATCTGATAATATTAATACGGTTGAGTTGCCTTTGTTTAGATTAAAGTGATGGATATACTGGATCACGCTACCATATCACTTTTGGAAAAAAGTGTACACTTAGGTGTTTTTTTTCTTTTTTTCTGGATAATTAGGTGTGTTTATTTTGCGAAAAATGAATGATTTAGATAAAATTTTCTTAAAAAAGATCGCTTATAGCACTTGACATAATTAGTTAATGAAAAATATTTTTATTATCGACAATAATTTATGTTTATACATTTTCATGGATGATGAAATATTTGTCGTTCATTTATTTTGTAAGCGATAATTACTTATTTTTCACGAAACAAAAAGAGGTTAGTAATATTTCGTTATCGTTTTCAATAAGTGGTCATAGAAAAAAGAGTTAATACCACAAAAACCCTAAACTTGTACACCCGTGATAAATTTATCCTAAACTAATTTTTTGACCATAAAAAATCCCAAATTTGTACACATGTGATAAATTTACCCTAAACTAATTTTTTGACCACTATAAACCCAAAACTAGTACATTTGTGATAGATTTACCTTATATTAAATTGGATTAATATCACGAAAAACCACAAGCCGATACATCTGTGACAAATGGAGGGTAAAACCCCAAATTAGTACGCCCGTCAACTGCCACGTGTCATCCAACTTAGAAATTTGATGGTAAACATAGGTTTTCCATTGATCAGGAAAATATTTTCGTTGACTCATTTTCCTAAGCCAACCAAACACCAGAAAATATTTTCCGCGAAACAAACAGAGCCTCTATACTAACTAGATTTCAAATTACTATTTACTCCACAATTTGAATTTTCCATTGGATTATTGAATTAATTATGGTAGTGAAGAATGACATATATTTGATTTTGTTTTTGGTGGGTGAATCATAAGTCGACTTGTCGGCCACGTAGCAGCATTTAAATTTTTCGATTCGGTTTTAAGGGTGCGAATGATAACTATTTTTATTATCGGGAACAATTTCTGGCCAGAAATATTCCTTAGACGAGTTTCTAAGTCAGAAGTGGCGTTTGATAATAGCACAAAATTTCTGATCTTGGAACAAAAATTCGTTCAATGAATTGGGATTGAACATGCTTAATCAATTGAATTGAAAGTATCGTTGTAGAATTCGTACATCGACGGGCGGCAACTATGAGAGGTGAGGACGAGCGACAAGAAGAGTTGCTATTTCTATATGTTCCGGGAATAGTAAATCATTTTCTACTTGTCATTTATGTTTCAAACCTTTTTTTGGGTTAAAAATTTATCTCGGAAATAGAATAATGAAATTGTGTTATCAAACAGATTTTTGTTTTAAACTTGTTCCCCAAAACAAAAAAAATAGAAAAATAGAGAAACAAAATTGTTATCGTGCACGCACTATTTAGGGTGATCAGTTCCAAGGTGGGTCGGTTTCCACCCTAGAATCGGAACCGAACTAGAAGGGTCGGTTCCCTATTTGTGGAATCAGGGAATGGTCCACCTTGTATTGGAAACGAACCGGATGGGGTGGGTCCAAGAATTGATGGTGATATCTTTCTTTAATGTTTTGGATTTTTAATTAATGAAACTATCAACGGAAAGATATTAAAGCTGTGATAAAATATAATCAAGTATCATTAATTTGTTAATAAAAAACTATCGATCCGGTATGTGTGGTTGGGTTTACACTTGAAATCGAAAACTGGATCGACATCTATCAATTTTCGCGAAAACTGCCTAAAACTAGCTGATTCAGTTCGATTTCAGTGGTTACCCTTAGCTTCAATTAGGGGTAAGCATTGGTCCAGGGTCAACCCTGGACCGGCCCAACCCTGCCGATCCTAGTCTGGTTCCCAAGGGGAATGGGTCAGTCTTTGGTCCTAGGACCCTGAGACTCTACATTGTGCAAGTTGGTTCTCGGTCTTAGGAGTTTAGGGTTGACCTTGTATATATTATATTTTATATGCTTTTGTCTACTCTAAACTCTAGCGCCTCTTCCTCTGTTCTTTTCTTTCTTATGCAGTTCAGTTTGTTGTGTAAATTAGAAAGTAGAAAGGAAACCCTCTTCGCTTGCCTCGGCCTTGCTCAGCTCATGAGCGCAGCTTAGCTGGACAAACATACTTTGTTAAGTATTAATTATGTACGTTGTTTGTTTTGTTTTCAAGTGTTCGGAAGTTGAAGCGATCATTTAAGAATGAACAAGATATGAAGTTGTAAAATTCATGGTTTATATTATGTATTTTGAACGGTTTATGTTCATTTTCATGGTTTGTTACTTTTAGCAAGTGTGAAATTTATATTGTTTCCTTATCTTATGTATATATGTTTGATATGTACTGGTGTTCATAGTTCAGTTTTTCAATATCGCATTGTTGATGGATATGTAATTTGAAATAGTATGCTTGTCCTTTTTAGAGAATATAAACAAAAAAATAATCGGTTGGTCCTGAGTTGACCCTGGAACTTGACCGACCCTATGGGTCTGGTCCGGTTCTCAGTCCCAGGCTCAATAGGGTCGGTCCTCGGTCCCAAAAATTGAGGACCAATATTGTGCGGGTTGGTCCTTGGGTTAAGTGCCGGACCAGCCCAACCCAGATCATGCTCACCCCTAACTTCAATGAATCGGATCGTCGTCGTGAGGGGTAATCGGTTCCTCTGGTCCGGTTCCAAGGTGGAACCAGGAATCGGACCGGGAGAACCAGTTCGGAATCGGGGACTGGACCAATTGGTCCCACAATCGGGAATTGGGAACTTTTTTTTTCCCACTACTTGATACCATATGTTTTAAAACTAGAATTGCCTTTCCCATGCCGACTACACATAATTACAAAAACAAACGTGCAATTCGAGCAAATGCGATGACGAATTGTGTTCCCCATGCCGACTACATATATGTTCTAAAATTAAAATTGTATTCCCCATGCCGACTACACATAATCACAAAAAAAAAGTATATGTAGTTGGCTCGGTTCGGCCCGATTTCTTGGAAACAAGGAATGGGACCCATTTGGACATCGATCACATAATGCATTCATGAGAACCCGACCCAACCCTGGGTCGGTTCAATCCGGTTCGTTTGGGGCAATTCTCAATTTGGGCGGTATATTTTGAACACCTCTAATCGTGGTACCAAAGTTCAGTGTCGAGTCTCTCAGCTCTACTATTCTCTAGCACTAGAGAGCTGCCGAGCTGCGAAACAACGAGCACACGCTTGTTTTGTTTTCGCAGAACACAGAAGAAATTTTTTGAAGAAGCGCCACCCCACCTCCTAGGGGTGTCAGAAACCGAACCGAAAACCGAACCGAAATCGAAACCAAACCGAACCGATCCGAAAATTCATGAATTTTCGGTTCGGTTCAGATGTCAGTTCGGATAATAAGTAAGAAAATTTGGTTAGTTGATTATTCGGTTTGGTTCGAATCAGTTCGGATCGGATCGGATCGAATTTCGGTTTCTTTTTTATTTTCTTCCCTTCACGTACACCCTCTCTCCTCACTCACTGTTCATGATTCTGAACCGCAACTTTCTCTCCCTTTTCTCTCTCTTCCCACTCACTTTTCTCTCTCTGCGTCTCCTTCTGATAGCGACGCCACAGACCATCTCTCTCTCCCTCTGCAATAATTCAGCATCCCAAGGAGAGAGAAAGAGCAAAAGGCACTGTTTCGCTCTCTTCTTCAGCTGCAGCAAGCTTCTTGGCTTTGATCTTTTAAAGAGATGTTTCGCCCCCATCACTTCACATGATCCCTCCTGTTTCTGCCCCTCACGTCTCTGCAATCTCTCTCCTCAAACCCTTTAACTTGAAGAAGAAGGGTGGTCGGGTTGGTCGGGAGCTTCAACGAGTGGTTGAGCGAGTACGGCAAGAGGAATTGCAGGTGCTTCTTGCAGAGAGCCAGAGCTGCGATGAAGAAGAAGAAGAGGAGTGGCGGCGGCAGCAGCCTCGGCAAGCCGCATCGGACTTCTCGGCCACCACCGCCTCTTGTACTTAGGGAAGCTCGCGGCTGCGGCGGAGGGCAACGGCGAGCTCGAGGACAACGTGGCCATGTCACCTGGCTGGGTCGGGAAGTGGAGGGTGCGAAGGGAAGAAGCGCAGAAAAAACAAGAAGGAAAACCGAAAATCGATCCGATCCGAACCGAAAAGAACCGAACTGAATCGCGTTTTCAGTTCGGATCATATCTGGTTCGTTTGGCCCTTTGGTTCGGAGCAAGCACACATTCAAACAGTTCGGTTCGGGATTTTTCTAAAAATCCGAACCAAACCGAACCATTGACACCCCTACCGCCACCCTACTACCTCTCTCTCTCTTCCACCAGTGCATGCCTTTTTGTCTCCCATGCACTTTACTCTCTCTCTCTCTCTCTCTCTCCAAAACCCTCTCGTAAACCTCCGCGTTCTCTCTCGCATCGCATTCTCACGTTTTGCTCGATTCTTCCCCCTCCTCCTCCTCCTCCTCCTTCTTCAACCTTCTCGCTCTTCAAGCCTCGAGCTACTTCCGTCGAGCAATGGCGAGGCCCGTGGACGCCCCTCGGGTTCTCCGGGAGATCGAAGTCGTGGTGGTCGACGTCGAAAACGTTGCCTCCCGGGGAAATGCGGAGCTCCAACCGATCAGCTCCGGCGTCGGGCCGGAAACTCCCGGGAGCGGCGCCGGGCGCTCGCCGGAGGAACCCGCGGCCTCATCCCGAGAAAGCTCGGCCGGAACCGTCCGCGAGCAGTGGGAAGAGTTGCCCGTCCACGAGAACACGAGGGTTTCGTCGAGTTCGCGTGCGGTTGAGGCATTGACTCCTGGCTCCAACGCTTCGTCTCGGCGGAATTCGCGGCTGCTCGTGAACAGGCCGAAATCGAGGCTTCTGGATCCTCCCGAGGACCAATGGCAGCAGCGGTCGAGGATCGCGGCAGATTCGGGGCCGTTCTCGGCGAAAGGCGGCGATGATCGCAAAGAAGAAAAGGACGATTTCGAGGACATTCCGGAGGAGTACAAACACACGAAGCTCGGCTTGTGGACGGTGCTTCAATTCGTGAGTCTCGTTTTGATCATCGCAGCTCTAGTTTGTAGTCTTTGGATAAATGCACTAAAGAGGCAAACACTGTGGGATCTTCCTCTGTGGAAGTGGGAGATCATGGTTTTCGCGCTTATTTGCGGAAATTTAGTGTCTGATTGGTTGATCACATTGGCCGTGTTCTTGATTGAGCGGAATTTCATACTGAGGAAGAAAGTTTTGTACTTCGTCTACGGATTGAAGAAAGCTGTCCGAAATTGTATCTGGTTCGGTCTCGTCCTGCTTGTGTGGAATTGTGTGTTTGACGATAAGGTTGAGAAGGAGACTAAGAGCAGGATATTGCCAAAAGTAACAAAGATACTCGTGTGCGTTTTCATAGGCGCTGTGATCTGGCTCCTGAAGACTCTGCTCATTAAGGTCCTTGCCTCGTCATTTCACGTGAACGCCTTCTTTGAGAGGATTCAGGAGTCCCTCTTCAATCAGTATTTGATAGGGATGCTCTCGGGCCCGCCGCTGTTTGAGAAGTTCTACAACGAAGAGGAGGAGAGGGCGATTGCTGAGTTCCGAGAGCTTCAGGATGCGGGGGCCAACATTCCTAGCAATCTGAGGGAAACTCTTCTCCCGAGAAGCGACAAATTTGCGGGGAATGGGAAGAGCCCCATTGTGGGGAAGAGCCCTCGACTTTCGAGAGAAGCTTCACGCGGGCAGGACATGAATATCCCAATCGAGCAACTGCACAGGCTGAATCAAAAGAATGTATCGGCTTGGAACATGAAGAGGTTGATGAATATCATAAGGAATGGCACCTTATCTACTCTGGATGAGCACATTCGTCCTTCTGATGTGAAGGACGAGGCCACATTGGAGATAAGAAGTGAGCGCGAGGCAGAGATGGCAGCCAAAAGGATATTCAGGAACGTTGCTAAGCAGGGTTCGAAGTAAGTTGCTTCTTTCGTATATCAAACCATTAACATTGCCAAATTCTAAAAAAATATTTGGGAGTTAACAGGATTTTCCGAGGTAGAATGTCATGGCTGCTCCAAAATTTTCCATTAACTTGGGTGACCTGTGCAGATGAGGCACGGGAAAGAATGTACTGTCATTGCTGCTTAATGATTCCAATAGACGAAGTCAATGCATCAGCTGATGCTCAATTAATTAATTGGGGACCTTTAAGAAATTGTCCAGGTCAAAGTATTATATGTGGGACCGTACTGGTTGTCGTGCTTCTAGTTATACTAAAAGGGGATAAAAATCCTGCTTACGTATCTTAATATCTTACAAGAGTAAAGTTAGGCTTTGTAGAGTAAACAAGCTAACATTTGCAAACAGACGGTAAGATAAGGTCATCCTGTTGCTGCCTCTGAGAAGTAGCATACCTGTGCCACGATTCTATCATGGGACAGATTTTCTTGTTCCAATATTAGGTTTGCTTTAGTTGCTGATTATTAAATTGTAGGCGTTGATAAATCTTATGCATCTTTTAATAGGTGCATATATTTGGAGGATGTGATGTGCTTCATGAGTAAAGATGAAGCTTACAAGGCAATGGATCTCTTCGGAGCAGCATCTGAACGCGAGGGAATCAGCTGGCTGTCTCTTAAAAATTGGGCGGTAATAGCTTTTTTCCTCCACTTATATATCTTGACTGTCTCTAGTTAAGTAAGGTTTCTGTTTCCCTTCTTTCTGTCCAATAACACATATATGGTTTACTAGATCCAGGCTTACATATTGCTTTTTACTTTTCACCAAATGGGATGTTGTATATGCAAAAATTGATGGAAGCAATTGTCGGTTGGTATGATATGTGTCATGGGTTTTTTGTCATTTGAAACTTATTTAATGCCTTTTGCAGGTGAATGCATTTAGAGAGAGGAGGGCCCTTGCTTTGTCTCTAAACGACACTAAAACTGCAGTGGACAAACTCCATAAGATGTTGAATGTCATCATGGCTTTCATCATCGTGATTATTTGCCTCGCTATACTACAAGTCAATGTCACCCACTTCCTTATTGTCATAAGCTCGCAGCTTATTGTCATGGCATTTGTCTTTGGGAATACCTGCAAGACCATTTTCGAAGCTATCATCTACCTATTCGTTATACATCCTTTTGACGTGGGTGATCGCTGTGAGGTGGATGGAGTGCAGGTAAAAGACCCTTTTCTATGTAAACTCTCTCTTTACGTTTGAGGGCAATCTTTATCTCTTTATTTTGCTCACAGATGGTGGTGGAAGAGATAAATATACTGACTACAGTCTTCCTGAGGTATGACAACCAAAAAATTGTATACCTAAACAGTGTCTTAGCTGCCAAGCCCATAAGTAATTACTACAGGAGCCCAGATATGGGTGATGGAGTCGATTTCTCTATCCATATCTCGACTCCGGCCGAGAAAGTTGCTATCATGAAGGAACGAATAGTCAGGTAGGGAAGAGACATATCCTTTTGTTTCTAGGTTCATCTCTTCCATATGTTTCGTTTTATGTTGGTTGATTTATGGAATGTTTGACCGAGGAGAAAATGCCTTACACGGACGGTAATTATGATTGCCTATGTAGATAGATGTTTTAGTCCAAATGATTTGCTGTCCTTGTTGTTGCAGCTATATTGAGAGCAGGAGTGACCACTGGCATCCGGCGCCAATGGTGGTGACAAGGGAGATTGAAGACTTGAACAGAGTGCTGATGTCGGTTTGGCTCACACACCGAATGAATCATCAGGACATGGGCGAAAGATTTGTCAGGAGAGCTCTTTTGGTTGAAGAGATGATCAAAATCTTCAAAGAGCTCGACATCGAGTACCGGTTGCGGCCTCTTGATGTGAACATCCAAAGCTTACCCAGTCCAAATTCAACTAGGCTTCCTTCAAATTGAACAGCAGGCGGTAGCTGATCATACTCCAATATGGACAAGCACCAGCTAATTTTCCCACGAAGTCTCGGACTCAAGGATGTCATTCTCCGATATCGACAGAACAGTCTTTTGACCATGACATCTTCGTGTGAAAGACATTTGTATAATTGCCCCACGAATGTAGCTTCGCCATAAAATGATAAATTCTAATGAAATTAACCTTACAATTGCTTGGACTTGGTGGCATCATCTGACAATGGTTTTCTTTACTCGACTTCTCTTCTTCCTACTTAATCGTCTGCGGCCTGTAGCTGATGAAACATGAGAAACATGGAAAGTCTTGTACCGGTTAGCGAAGATTAAGGGGAACAACTTTGTTCTGGTGTTTGATTAATGTGCAATAGTTAATACAAAGCTAGATGCTTTGATTAATGTGCAATAGTTAATACAAAGCTAGATGCTTGTTAGCTTCTTGTCCAATTCGTCCTTTAGTGCCGCCGTGGGTGTTCCTATTTACATGTTGGTGGACCCTACTGAGCCACCCTCATCAAGTAAAGGATAAAGCGGGCGAGTCCAGTCTATATGTGTGGCGGAAACTGGGACAAGGAAACAAGAACTAAAAGCACAAATCTCACTCTCACGCACAACACACGCACAAATGGCTGCCCCGGTGAAGGTGTACGGACCACCATTGTCGACGGCGGTGTCGAGGGTACTTGCTTGTCTGCTGGAGAAAGATGTGGAGTTCCAGCTCGTCCCTGTTAACATGGCCAAAGGGGAGCACAAGAATCCTGACTATCTCAAGATCCAGGTTCTCTCTTACTCTGAGTTTAACTTTATCTTCTCCGTGTTCGATTAATTTGGTTCTTAATATTTTCGGGAATTCTTTTTAACATCGCCTCTTGTATGCTGTGAACAGCCCTTTGGCCAAGTCCCTGCTTTCCAAGATGAGAGCATCACCATTTTCGGTATAAACACCCACATCCTCATTTGTTGTATCTCCTCGAAATTAAAATTCAGTTCTCATGTCATCCAATTGATTGGTACCGCTAATTTGTTCATGGATCTGAGCCAAATTACAGCAGCGGTGGAGTATTTTTTTTCTGGTTGGAGTGTGAAGATACAATTACTTGTACTGCAATTTGATACCTGAATGCCGAATTTGCATCTTTAATAAGGAAGATTTTCCATGATTGTCATCACAAATGCCTCTGTTGCATCAGTTCACTTGTTTGAATGGTATTACTAGTGTTAAGTCTGTACAGTGACAGCTAGTTAATTCCACGGCATCATTTCGCTGGCTTGATTGATTCGATCAATTCGCTTGTAGAGTCCAGAGCGATCTGTCGCTACATATGCGAGAAGTACGCGGACAGGGGCAACAAGAACTTGTACAGCATGAATCCGCTGGTCAAGGCCTCCATAGAGCAATGGCTAGAGGCCGAGGGCCAGAGCTACAACCCTCCGTCCTCGACTCTGGTATTTCAGCTCGCGTTCGCGCCACGGATGAATATAAAGCAAGACGAAGCACAGATCAAACTGAACGACCAGAAGCTCTTGAAGGTGCTCGACGTTTACGACCAGAGGCTGGAGAGCAGCAGGTTCCTGGCAGGCGACGAGTTCACTCTGGCCGATCTGTCGCACTTGCCGAACACGCACTACTTGGTGAGCGTGGGGAACCGGGGAGAGGCTTTCAGCTCGAGGAAGAATGTGGACCGGTGGTGGAACGAGATCTCGAGCCGAGACTCGTGGAAGAAAGTCGTGGAGATGCAGAAGAGCAAATGAAAATCTGGGTTTGGTTGGCTTTGTGCAAGACTAGGATTTTTCTATAGAATTTAAGTTCTTGCTTTGGGAGTTTTTCGTCGCTGTCGATCATACTGTTTCTGAGATTTTTTTCATGTTTCCGATGGGTTCAATGTTCATTTCGATTTGATGAATGAGAATTTGCATGTTCTTCATTAATAGTTGATGTGCATATGCTATACTAGAAGAAAACCTAGCTGAACATAGCATTAACAACAGATTTGTGCAGTGGAAAAGAAGAGAACCCCATTCAGTACAATATATCTGAAGATTCAACGTAGGTAAAAATTCAATTTAGATTTTCCTCTCCTAATATTTTGATTGCTGCCTTTCCTAGAATTTGGCTTGTGCTTTTGAGTTTTGATTAGAGCCATAATGCGTACATGACGTCCATTTTTCACGTAATAAAGTGTTGACAAGATCTTGTCGGTCAAGGGAAGCGAGATTCTAGATTTGATTCATGTTCTACTCCACATTAACACTAGATTTACATTTAGATAACAAGAAAATAATCCTCTCCAAATCTTCTAATCCTCGATATGGTTGATTTGCCTTTGTCTAGTTTAAAAAGCTAGGTACGTTCAATCATGATACCACGTGATTTTTGATAAAAAGCACATATACTTATTAAAATTTCACAAAATACGATTAATTTGTTATCGTTTTCAATTACTTAATACTATCACCCTACAACATATTTATTTTCAATTAATTTTTGTCTCTCGAATCTCGTACTTGCGATTCAAACTATCACACCATTAACATACCATCCAATATCCAACACATGTGGATTTCTATGTCGGATTTGCCATTCTCCACATTACTTATATAACAGCCATCACCGTGTGTGAGTGTTTTTTTTTCGGTCGGAATTTATGTTGTGTTGACATGCGGGCATTTTGGGGGATGTTGGACGAAATGCTAACGGAGAATAGATACAAAAAATGAATTTTGAACTAATGTATCATTTATGCCAATTTTGACAGATGGGCATTTTACTGGTATTTTCTGGTAGATACTCAAAACAATAGTTCGCTGCTCTCCCCCACTCTCTCTCTCTCTCTCTCACTTCCGCCTTCCTGAGAAAAAGTGAAAATCCTCAAAACCCAAATCGCCCCGGAATCACCCAAAGAATCATCATCTCTAGAGGTCTCGGTCACAGCGAGTTTGCTAGCGGCAAAGGTCTGATAATGGAGTGCAGCGGCTCCAAGGGAGAAGATGGGTTGGGGGACTACAACAGCAGCAACATCAAGAGGGCGCGACTGCGCTCCGCCCTCTCCGCTCTCCTCCAGGACCCCATCCTCGCCGACGTCCCCAAGAACCCCGCTTTGTCCGACGTCGACACCCTCATCAGCCTCGAACTGGGCAGCGCCATGCGGGTCTCCGTCCTCAAATTAGACGGCACCAGCTTCGGTATTGTGTGAACTTCCTTCGTTTTCCGTGTTCATGTTGTCTTGGCGTTTTATCGAACACCTGGAGTGCATGCTCCGCGCTTAGCTCTTCTCTTTCCGTTGGTCGGCGAAGTGTAGATGTTGCGGTTATGAATTCGGCCACGGTGAAGGAATTGAAGCTGGCTGTGAAGAGAAAAGTGAGCGATGCGGAGCAATCCAAGATGGGTCATCGTCAAATTTCGTGGTTAGTTGTTAATCGTTTGCTCGAAACTCGTCCGGGCGGATTGTGGATATGCAAGTGTGGAATCTGCTTTTGAGCTGAGAATTAACAGGCGGTTGAATTAGCGGCCATTCCCAATCCTCATGAATGGTGATGCCCAGTGAAGATGAAAGGGACATAAGTTCTTCCCCTTTCTGTTAATCTGCAAAAAAATATAGTTGAATAATACAACAATACCATCAATGTCAAGGTTCATTTTTTTTTTTAACTAATCCTGCCAAGATGATGTACTATGCGATGAATTTTCCCCGCTTTTGTTCGGCCTCGAAGACTTCTTGAATTGCTTCTGAAATGTAAACTCAAACGGTTGGTATGCTTAACAAAAGATTCTATTGGATTTTCAGGAAGCACGTGTGGGCGAACTTTTGCCTATCATACCATAATCAGAAACTGCTTGATGATGATTCCAAGCTTCAGGATTTTGGCATCCGAAACAATTCTCAGGTTCTGATACCCTGTCTCATTCTCTAGCACTTTTTGTCTATAGGCTTTTGTAATGGTCTAGTAGCTTTGGTTCTCTTCATCCGTATTTGATTTAGGAACATTCATGTGCTGATCAGTGGCTTTAAGTGAAATGCCTTAAAGTTTAAGCTGCAAAACTGTACTGGAGATTTAAATGCTTACTATATAATAGGGTCCACCTATCCTGGAGCATCATGCTCCGACACTCGAGTGTTAAGCCCCTTGGAGACGTGATAAAGGCGATCACTTTGTCAATAAGAGTGATGTCTGGAAAATCCAAATGCTTTTAACTTTAGCACAGTTCACATTGATGTACCAATGACATGAACATATTTATCAGACTCGACATTGGTATACCAACTGGGGCATGGTATCCTCAGGGCCCACATAACTTCTGTGCACAAATTGGTCGTGACAGATTGTCGACACACTTACGCTTGACATGAAAAAAAAAAACGAGGATATTTTTTCGGGGGTCCATGCAGTGAATTGTCTTGCCTGCAATAGCATTCACATGCCTGTATCCTGTAAGCTTGAAGTGTTCGTGCCATGTATGTGTATGCAGGTGCATTTTATCCCCTCTGTCATGTCAAAGAATGCCGGAAGACATTCTAAGAGAAAGAAGCACCGCTTCTTCCATGGCCTGAGCAAGCGTGCTTAAGACAACCCATGTAATTTGTTTTTCTGGTGCTGCTGTATCATCAGAGAACACATCCTCTGTATACCAATTATTTTTCTGATATTCCTTATATTTTCCTTGCAACTACATTTTTGCTTTCTTGTTCATTTATGCTTCGGTCCTTGAGCTAGGAGCTTCACGTTCGCTGCCAATTCTGAAACTATTCGTCTAAAAGAGAATGCTCACTGTATAGAATTTTTGCCTGAACTAATAGCTTCCGAGTTGTCAGTTTCACGAACTGACTCTCAATTTTCCAGGATTATTGGTCTTTTAGGAGCTGACTCTCGGTTTCATCTTCATTTCTTTATCCAATACTTCTATCTATATCTGCATCTCATGTGCAAAGCTGGGCTCGGAGAAGAAAATTCTTGCCAAAAATAAGTGCGGTCTGGTAAAGAGAGCAATTCAGTATGAATGTTTCTGGGAAAAACAAAGTCATTGGACGTAATAAATGCCTCTGTTTCGCTGAAGCTGTAAACACCATGAGTTTTGACACTGCACTGTACAAAATCGTATTCAATAAGCCAAAATTCCTAAAGTTTGTCGATGCAGGCAATAAACTGCTCGACGAGATTTGGTCTTCAGTTCTGCAGTCCATGGATTTTAGACGGTATGTATTCCCTTGACAAATAGGAAAGTGAATGGACCGAGAAGGCTTCAATCTCGAATTTCACTCCCCTGTGCAGCATCAACTCTAGCTCGAACCTTCCTCAGGCAATGGGCGCCGCTAATTTAGTAATGGCAACTATCTTTCTTAATAGAAAATTGAAAATTCTACCTCCAATCTGGCGCTTCGCGCTGTAGGTAGCATCTAAGTAATATTGCCTCTGTCTTTCTTTTATCTGGCAAGTGTGTAGGAACATAAGCAATTATTCTCTGGCAAGCATAAGGTGTGGTTGAAAAGCATCATGTACTGAGACAGTAGCATCAAATGGGAAAGCCTCACCTTCTGCTGTCAAAGGAAGGAGACACTCTGTTGGAAGACCGTACTTCTCAAAATCTGAAGGAAAAGCTCCTAGCCAGCTCATTTTGGGATTGCGCATAAATTTCGCATCGTAAGCCATTTGCTTGCGTAAGGAAATAAGGGAAATGGAAATTGAGATATGTAAGTAATAAACATTGAATAAGCTGAAAAATTTGCTCATGGGATTTACTTTCTGCAATTTAACTGATTATTCACACGGTGTAAGTAATTGATGATTAAATAAACTGACTCGAGAAATATTATCAGAGATTTCTAAAGTTGAAATTTTCGAACCATGGAACCAAATCGGTAAGTGGACAGAATGTCGAAGCCATATGGATCACAATCTACCAGACAATAGGCAGGCAGATGCAATGTCTCAATGAGAAGCCTCAAGAACCTGGAAGAAGGGAAATGACGCATGTGATGCCCGGTATAAAACCAGGGTCAGGTAACAGATCGATGATGCAAAACATCGCCCCAAGTTCACTGAGTACAAATATCTTTACCTTCTGGTGGGAATATCTGGGTAACCTCTTCCCTGTTGAAACAGGGTATTGGAAGATAATCAGGGCGGAAAAAGTAGAAGGTATACTTGAAACTAGTTAGTTTGCAAAAGATGTCTATCCACTAACAGTAATAACAATGCAACGGTTTGCCCTGCAGAACTGGTCATTCGCTAGTCGCTGGAACACTGCATGTCGAACATTCAACTGTTAATATCTGGTCAATAAGAAAATACTGACTCAGAAAATTTTTGAAACTTGCTGACCTGATTCCTTCTCCACGACTAGAATGTAATCAGCAACACTTAAAATATCTGTGAGAAAGAACAATAGAGAAACTACCTATCTCAGCATGAACAAACGTGAAATGTTGCAGTATTTATGAGAGACATTGAGCCATATCATGAAATTAAGATTTTGAAAGCAGGGTGAGGCCAGAATGACTGAAAACCGCGTTTTGACTTTCTGCACTCTTAGGAAGTATGTGATGAATAGAGATTCAAAAAAGAGTTCCGGAAAGTGCTCTTTGCCAAATTAGCAATCAACAACATCGGCAATCACTTTTTTCCGGTAACATATGTGTAATCAGTTATATACCTTCAACTTCTTCAACGTGCACCGGAACAGGTTGGGCCTGCCACAAAATGAGAAGCCTATGCTTGGATATATAACTTTTCCTATATTTGTAAAATGATTACTTAAATGATTATGCATCTGAATGTACGGTTCTTCAACTCACCGAATTAAGGTTGTTCATGCAATCGAACTTCGCCCCAGCTTCAGTGAATCTTAACCAGCCCATCACCAACCTGAGAAAAAGTGGAATAATCCAAAATTGTCATCAGAAATGTTGAACCATCTCAAATGCCCCTTAAGCAGTGAGGTTACTAATAAAAGCCTAGCTCATAGCTGTAAGAAATCTTGTGAAGATAACATAACATCAATGGAAAGTTAGAATCTGATAGTGGGATAGGACTAGCAACATTCAACTACTTTTCATGGGCACAATCGGATGGATGAAACAATGGATAAGAGCGAACTATTTTGACATGCTTCAGATTAGTCTACAAAAGTAAAGTGAAAATTATGCATGCTTCTCTACTCATCTCCCAAGAAGTCCCAGGAAAGTCACATACCCTTTTCCTACAGAAACCTGCCAAAAGTAGACAAGAAGAAGTTATTATAACGTTAATGTAATTATGAGGTCGGTAATACGAAAGCAGTACGTTAACCATGAAATGAGTTCTGGGTTCACTTCAACCTACTTTCCAAGCGCAAAAAATAAAAATTTCCGCTACATTTAAATTAAGAAACTGAAAAATGGCTGAACCCACTGGGAGATGCAATCGTAAACTACTAGTGCAGATCCAAACTTTATCTGAATAGCAGAAATCCCGTGCAAACTGAAAAAAATAATAATATTCCAAGATAAGAGACTACTAGCAACTTGTGGGAACCATGCAAAGATACCATTTGCCACCCTAGACCAACCGAAAAGTAAACAACTCGACAAAATTTCGCTTCTATTCTGGAAAAAGACGCCGTAGCAGGATTCTTGAGGAGGGCCTTTTTCTTTATTTGCCTCTAGAGAATTTCTTTTTTTTTTTTTTGTTGGAAATTTGATGTTCTCCAGAGAAGTGGTCATAATCAACTGCTCCACCAAAAAAATGACCAGTGCTAATGTTCATCTTGCTGTCTTCTTTCCACAGAACTTCCCCATCAAGAACAAAAAAAAAAAAAAATCATCTCAAAAAAATGTTTACCACATTTAAGTTGTGGCGACTGCAGCCGAGAAGGATACAAAGGTCGTTTATCGCCCGATCTACAACTGACTGATCTGGATCACAATATAAAGGAAATTACTGTAAGATTTAAAGCACACTACAAGAGAAAAATGAATTATTGTAGAAACCATCAGCTATAAAACCGGTGAATAGTAGATTCATGGGTCATCTAATGCCAGATAAGACTGATGTTCAATTTTTTCTTTATTTGGGTGATCAGCTAAGACTGATGCTGATACTCTTCCTTCCTTTCTCTTTATTTTCCTTGCTTAACAAGCTAGTCTGATGTTGAAACTAGAAACATAATGAAATGCATATGCCTCCTGAATAAAGCATGAATGACGACGGTTTACATTTCATGTAGAGTGAACTTGAAAAGGCATGGGCACACTGAGCCGTGATCACTTCATCATTGCATTCATTGAAGGAGCTCGGTCCACGTAAAAGTTTTCATTAAGAGATTAGATTGATGATCAGTAAGAAGCGATGTATAATCTAATTTCACCTCTGAATACAGAAGGATGCATGTAATATATATCTCTCTTTGATCCGTGTCTGTTTTCTTGCAGCAGTTGCTGAACGATCAGCAGCACTCTCAGCAAGACATCTGAAAGCGCCAATGGATAAACACAAAGTTGGGGACTACATATCTTCCACAATTATTCCAGAATCCAATGTCTGTAAACTAATAATTCTCAGGCAGATGACCACATACCGAGCCTATGCACATGCGATTCCTTACGAAAAGTCACGATTTCCTTTCCCTTTGGAAAATCGGGCTTGCAACTACTGCACACAGCAACATCAAACATGAATAAGATCTTTCGGGCATAACGCTGTAGCAAAGGCCGAAAGATCTGGGGATCGGTATGCATGTAATCCCTTTTTTCCCTTAATTTTCTGGACATCGACGTCATCTTGAGCCAAAAGTAATTGCTCTCTATTCCCCTTCACAACATACCAAGTCTTGAATTTTTCCAAATTTTCAACGGCTACCTAGCACTATCAGCAAAATGAGCAAATGCAAGAACTGTATGCTTTCAATCTGCACTATGAACTGCACCATTCAACGTAACCTATAGATGGATCGCGGCAACTCAGACACCGCCTTGTCTCAGATTCCGAAGTTAAACGATCAACAGTAAAATCACTCTTCAAGTGCGAATAACAGGATTCGTCCGAACCAAACGAAGAATCCTCCAACAGAGAGATTAAAATTGCAAAGACGGAACTAGAAATCTTCAGAAACGTGAGCTAACCAGCTTCCGTTGGGGTTCCTACAGTAACTCCGGAATACGTCGATCGCGAGCGACGGGGATCGACCGTTGCCGAGATCGCCGAGTACCGATTTCGTGAGCTCTGCGGATGAGTTCAAACCGAAAATCAAACGGCGGCCGACGACGAGGGATGAAGAAACTTCAAAGCGAAATTAGCCTTGCGCCGTCGACGATGAACCTCTGATCTTGCTTAGCAGGTGAGGGGTTCGTGAGCTCGAGCGGTTTCTGATTCTGTTTCCCTCCATTTTTTGGTACAATCGAACAGCTTCGACGACGGACTCGGTTTTTCCTTCTTATAGTAGGATCCGAATCGTGCCGACCCGATAAACTGTCGGAGTCGGGTCATGCAGGGGTGGGAATTTCCTGGATAAGAAACCATTACGGCAACAACTTCTTAATTAAGTTGATACAGAAATTCAAAAAAAAAAAAAGAAGACTTATTTTGGGGAACTGTCCAAGCAAACTCGTTGACAAGAGTTAAATAAATTAACGCTCGGTTTGATTCGCAAAAAATAACGTAAAATGAATTATTAAAAACACATTTTCTTCAAGATGATCGCCAGTATCGCTTGAAAATAATTAGTCAATGGAAAATATTTTTATTATCTACAACAATTTATGTGTAAACATTTTTATAGATGTTGAAAATACTTTTTGTTCATTTGTTTTTGTAAGCAATACAAATAATCATTTTTAACAAAATATTTTTCAAATCATTTATTTTTCGCGAAACAAATAGAACCTCGAAGCCCTAGCTAGGCCATAAGCTGCATATATGAAAATTATATTTTCAAAAATTTATTGGTATCTTAAAAATTATAGTTGCACGAGTCTTTTAAGTTGGATAGTTCAATTGGATATAAATTAAGTTTCAATTTCCAATATTAGATTACCTTATTCATCGCATTCATGCAGGACACAATATCAAGACTAAACCATGAGGTATCCGTAAACAGAATGTTGAATGCTGCAACATTAGTTTAGCAAAAACAATCTAAAAATAAAATTTAGAATCCATGTCCTCTCATGGGTTTATTAGCCAAAATTCCTTTTTTCCCCCTAGAACTCCCCAAAAATTACAATCATTAGATGATGATCCCCAGAAAATTCAGATATTGACACTCTTCTTCATCTGTGAAAAAGAACTTTACAGATAAAGAATCAATCGTACATTCACTTCTCTTCTGCCCCTTTTTCAAGGACTTGCAAACAAGAAGAACAAATGGGGGAAAGCAATGCGAGGTGTTATTGTTCGCTGACAGTGTCGTCGCTTCCATTGTGAACCCTCAAAGGAGCATCGGAGAGACCACTCTCGGGCGGTAACGCGTCCTCATCACTTTTGTCCGAGTCTGATTCCGCATGGCTGCTCCACTTTCTCTTCATGATTTTAGGAACCAAGCGAGTCACTTTGGTCTCTAGGGCTGCTGCATCATCGCAGTCAATTCGTTCGAATCTGACAGCGCTAACCTTTCTTGCATTTCCTTCTAGTATCTGCAGCAAATAGGAGACCGCAGAAAAATCATTCGCAAATGTCACTGAAGATGAACATGTACCTCAGACTTCTTGAAAGTAGATTGGTGGGAATGCCTGTGCCAGTACACTCATTCCACACTAAAGGGTCAGAAATGCGTGAAATCCTTGTCAAAAGTAAAGCCCAATGTAAATACACTTTTCTTGAAGTTTGGTCTGTTCTCTAGTGCGCCATGTTACCTAGGATTTTGTTAATAAGTGTCCCATTAAAAAAACAACGGAGGAAAGTATGCCATTTTCAATAAACTGTCTATCTCGTGTCATGTGGAATTAGTAAATTGAAAATAACATTTCTTTAATGAGTATGGTCAACAAGTTTTCCGGAGACACTCGTTAACAAAACCTTTTTATTTCTCACAAATCACAAGGGAAAGCATTCACCAAGAATTCCAATCCAGGTCAGCCACGAAAAGCTACGTACATTTTAGTTCATAGTCCCAGTTGAAGCATAAGCTAGGAATTGGATATTTGAAACCATTTATTCAGAAGAATAGGTGCTTTCAGATCAGATCAGTACCTCGAGTTTGAAAAATTGATGTTTTTCCTTCTCCTTTTGATCCTTTCGGTCAGATTCAGTTTCCACATACTCATCCTCCTCTTCTCGGTTTTCCTTCTCAAGAACCACTTTGATCGTCTCACCTGTCCGAGGTATATATCCAAATGCTTCACATATAAAGCCAGACACAGTCTCGTATTGATGGCCCTGTCAAGATAAGATGCATAAGCCAAACAGGGATGTCTACCATCCTAAGAAAAACAGTGCTACAGCAATAACGATGAATTTACAAATGCCCAGGCACATCCAAAAGAAGCAAGACAAGAAGAGAGCTTTAATCAAGATAAAGGAGACAAATAGAAAAAAATCGTGGATCTCCATTTGAAACCTGGAGCTCTAATCATGTAAATAAATCTATTGGAAACAACCAAACCAACCCCAATAAATAAATAAATTAAACAAAAGGTTCACCTACTGATGAAAACACGTATCTTGACTCATAGATAAATCCCCGCGACTATCTAAAAGGCATATGTAGAGCTAGGGCAAGAATTGTTACAAACTTCACAGGCTATAACAAGAAATAGCGGGTTTCCATGATTATCTCATACAGACATTTAACCAAGATCGTGACAAATTTATTGCGTTTCTCTAAATTGTTTCCAGCTAGAAGTGGATTGAAGTACTAAATTCAAGTGAAATCACTAGGCTACTAGTAGTCATCACCGAACCATTGCTAAGAGACCACCCCTGCTATGGAATAGATGGATGAAGTCCAATTGTCTACACAAGGTAGACAAGATTAAGACGACGAACGCCGATCCCACTGGAAATGTAACTGGAATCCTAGAAATCAAACAATTTTATACCTCAGGCATTTTGATATTTAGGTCTTCAGAGAGTTGATCAATTGATGTGTTGGCATCCACGTCATATACTCCCTCTGCTCGCATTACAATGTAGCCAGTTTTCTTCTGGATCTCTTCCTGTTTCAAACAAGAGCAGATAAGAACACGGATGAGAATCAGGAGATAAACTCAGTTAACATACAGAATAATAAAAAATGCCAGCTGACAATCAGCTTGGCCTATTCATTTCTTTCAATGCTTAGATGTCATTCAAGGTGGCTTCAAAATGACATGGACTTGATTCAGAACTCTCTCTAACACAAAGTTGTCCAAGAAAACTGTCCTCTATCTGGTGCCATGAAGGTAGCACATTTATCTAGACAAACTCCAAATGAGCTATTGTGCACACTGTGGGCATTATTGTTAGCATGCTTTATAAATGACTTTAAAATATATTTTACCCTCCTCATGGCTATGAGGCAAATTGGAGATTTATAATTTCTTAGACAAACTTTAAACTCTATGCAAGCCTATATCAGTGCCATGTGATGCTTTTTCGGCCCAATAGTGCAATGTCATGTGAATGGGGTCCTCTAGCCAGATAAGATTACTTATGATCACACTATACAGGCACAAGATAACACATTCCACAACCCACATAATCAAAACACAAGTAGTAGTGAAAGCAAAAGTTGATGAAAACTAAGGGTGACATTCAAGAGCAAACATTTTGCTCACCAAGTGATGAAAACCAATTCAATCAGAACAAAGTATCAAACAAATGTGAGAAACAAGAAACAAAGGCATCATGTGAACCACCAGAGAAAACATTATACAATGTCATTAGCTCAAGCGTGAAATATCCCAAAACTAATAAAAGACCTTGCACATGACCCAATACAAACATTTGCACAATAAAATAGGGGTGAACTTACTTTTGAATCATTTTCATCAAAAATTTCGCCGACAATTTCCTCCACAACGTCTTCTAGGGTAGCTATCTGTCTCACACAAAAAAAGAACAAAAAAGACCAGAATTCAAGGGTAAGCATCTGAATACCAATAATCACCCCAATGTTCAGAACAGTAATGACCCCTAACATGATTACTCAGCGCAAAATTCTTTAGATTACTACATAAAAAGCCGTCGTTCATACGCCTTTCAATTTTATTATGTGAAGTAAGCATCTGACAAATAACTATATGCATTTCTTTATAGCAAGTCCTTGATAACTCAACCCAAGTGACTTAGATGCCACCACTCACTCAACAATATGAACAGTCCGGACTTCTCATTTCAACTTTTACTAACTCAAACCCCATCCTGCTCTGAACAACCACCTCTATGAGCATGAGTGAGAATGTAGATTTAGATATGCATGCATGCATAGTGAAACTTGACAGTATTTTCTGATCTATGACTAAAGCATCTCTGCAACAGTTTCAAAATTGAGCAGTTCACAAACATCTCTGGCATCGCATAAAAAATAATGGGTGCATAGTAGCCATTAGCTAGCTGACGAGAAATGTGTCATGAAGCAATCAGAAAAATCAAGTCAACGATAATGACATACTCCCACAGTTCCGCCATATTCATTGAGGACGACAGCCATGTGAACCTTTCTTATGCGGAACTCTCTAAGAAGATTCCAAACTGACATTGAGTCTGCAAAACCAGTCACAGAACATGATAAATGATGATGCAAAGAAACAAAACAATATAACTTTAATGTACACAAACTAAGGAATTTAGGGTGCATTGGAAATCAATGTTTTGTTAACTTGAACTGCAAAATAATATGTTCTAATCAAGTTATCAGTTTCAAAAAGTTTTACATATCTTTGCATTTTAGGCAAAGCGGGCTTGCACTCTCAGATGGTTAGGCCACAGGACAGAAGTAACTTTTACTTGCATCAGTAGGTTTCAAAGTCTATGATTCTAACATGTATAGTATGCGCATAAAAAAAAGTTGAGTATAGTAAAAGAATATCAATGGCGGTCCCGACTGATCGTTATGCAAGCTCAAACCAAAGAATATTACCAGGCACAAAATAGGCAGGTTTGTGAGCCATCTCTCCCACAGTAGAACTTTCTAACAGTTCACCCTTCAAAATTAAACAGATTATAAATCTGCATTCTATGAGAATGTTGCAAAAAATTAATAATCAAATCACCCATAGGCCAAACAGAAGAAAATGAAAGAAGAACTGCCTGACCTTTTGGACACAATCTAGCAGATCCATTGCGTATGCAATTCCCACTATATTGTCAACGCGCTGCTCAAAAACGGGCACCCTGAAGAGTAACCCATAGCTTTCAGCTACTTCATGACCAAATTTCTGTTCATGATTCGTGTGTTGAGAAAACAAGTTCAACTTGCCTTGAATATTGATGAGTCACCCACAAGCGGTGAAAATCAATAAGAGTCGCACTCGCATCAATCGCAACTACATCTACAAGAGGTGTCATCACCTCTCTCACGTGGGTATCTTTAATCTCCAAAACATTTTCAATCATATCCTGCAAGAGGTTTCCATCACAGAAATGTCACATGAAGCAGTGTATGCCTTTTGAAAGCTGGGAACAATTCAAATAGAGGATATCTAACTTCTCTCTAAAATATTTTCAGGAAGGTATTTACAAACCCCTGAAAACAGACACTCGAATTTGTATGTTGAAGATGCGGTCAATTAAGAGACCCAAGAAGGTGTGACCAACACACAGAGAGCTCAAAGCACATACAGCCAAGATGAAAGTAAAGCCTAAATCTCTATGTGTTTCCTTTAGCTAACGGGCAGACTAAATTGGGCGGGCATATTCAGTTCTTACAAAACCGAATGTAAGAAATGTATGTTACACGAGGAAGTAATAAGGAAAAGTGGTGTGCAAAAGCTCCAATAGATCTAATTTTAGCAAATTTGAACTAGTTTGAAGAGTCAATCAATCAGAATCTTACTTTCTACTAAAGTGAAGTATCAACCTAGCACCACTCTTAAAATTGTATTTGAGAGGATTTACATTGGTAAGTTCATACTGGATCTTACCTGTTCTTCCTCCTCAATAGCACCGCTCAGTATGGCACCCCGCAACATCAATTTCAACTCTTCTTCAGTAACATATGGCTCACTGCAAATTCCACCGCAGAGAGTGAGGAATGACAAGTTTTCAGCAAAAGAGTATCATGTTAAAATCGTCATAGGGCACACTTGATAATTAATTCCAGAGACCAAGTTTATGTTCTAGATCTTTTGTCTCTTTTTTTGGGCCTGATTATGTTATAGTCCATAACTGCCACTCTGTGAGACTATAATCTGGAGAAGTCAATGATACGGTCTCAAATGAATCACAAGTCAAATACTAAATCTGAAGTCTGGAAGAAACGGGATAACTACAATCAAATATTTACTGCAGAAGCTCATATGCGCCATTCCCTGCTATGACCAAAATTTTATGTGCTTTATTGCTATAGTTTCTCTTTTCTGAGCTTCAAAAAGTTACAACCTACTTTATGGGGAGATCTCCAAAATGCACAAAAAGAAAAAGAAAACGAATTCATTTTAATTGAAGAACCATGTGAATCAGAAGCAAATATACAATCATAACATGACAGAGGAAGCTGCAAATAAACAGCATGTAGTTTTGAAAATACCTCCTTCCTTTCAAACCAAGCATTTTTAGCATCCCCATTGACAAATAGGTGACTATCCTTCCTACGGGGTATAATATCAAGGAGAGCCATGCAACTGGTCTGACCTAGAGGCACCACGAACAGTAATCATTAACCAATGCAATACAAAGCACAGAAAAAAAAGATTGTAACGATGGGAAGTTTTTAAGGCAAAAAACTGGACAGATCTCTAATACACGAGAAAGAACTTCAAAAATTCTAGACTTACCACAAATCTAGCAACCTCTGTAGCATTATGAACTGCTATACTCTTGGGAGTGATTTCAGTAAGAAGCAAGACGGCAACCTAAAGCAATTAATCCCAAATATGTCAGGAAGCACTTTAAGCTACAATTGGCACATCTAGTCAAGCAACTGTCCTTTTCTAACACAAAACATGTAATAAAAATTCACCTACCCAATAATCCACGTAAGTTAAAAAACAAAAAAAAAGCATTGACAATTTTCAAGCAAACAATTAACTCTTTCCAAGATGTACTTCAATGAAAAAGCACTAAATGGGTCATCATGCACCTACTGAGTCCAGCTGAAATTTCTAATCTTTCCACTTATAATTCCCCAATGTGTGAAGCAAAATTACAGGAAAACACTTTCGACCTGAAAACAATAGACTTACAGTCATTACTCCAGTTGCTGCACTAACACCAGCTTCACCAAACATCGCCGTGGCAGCTTCTGTTACTAATGCAGTAGCTCCAATGTTGACCACTCTGAGCACGTAGATATAATAAAGTAAGAACAGCTCTCTTCTAAAACCTAGAATATAAAATCACCAACTGATAATTGCAAAAGCTTGGTACGTTGTGCCAATAAGTATCGTGGTCAAGAATCTTGTCACATCACTTCGAAGCATTCTGAAGACACCATTTTCAGGCTCTTTTTCAGCCAGTTCACGCACCTAAAACAATATATGACATGATGATAAGATAGCAAGAAGTCCACATTATTTACAGCATGCTGCCAACTATAAAGACTTGTATGAATAAGCCCATTCCCCATGTGCAAGATAATATAACAGAATTATCAGTGAAACAGCAGATTAGTGTGAAGGAAAAAGAACTTTGTGGAATAGAGAACAAAGGAGGATGGAACCATCCTTGAGCAGTTTTGTCTCTATATGGAGGAACGTTTAGATACTGTTTGAGGCATTCTTTAAGAGGGCTCTCCCCCAGTCAAAGTATCCTTAGAAGATTCAGATACATCACAATCCTGCAGTTCATTAATGCTGAGTTTCCAAAAAGAGCCTAGATGAAGATTATTTTTCAAATATTTCTCAACAGAGCAGTTATGTGAAACCCGCAGAAACTAGTGATTAGCGTCACCCTCTCCAATATCAAGGGCAGTAAATCTTCTCGATGGAGTTTGTGAATTTATTTTAGCCATCAATGGATCCATCTAGAAGTTACAAAGGATCGAAGAAACCAAATTTAGAGCCAAGAGTTCCACCTTCCAAGGCCAAAGCGTGGTGATTGAGGTCTCCGCCATGGAGAAGAAAGCTGAGAGCGCAAAAAGCAATGCCAACACCAACCCTTGCTCTTTAAATACTATAAGAACTTGAGAAACCTTAGGCCAAGCATTTCTCAGCAACAATATGGTCTGCCCAATAACTCCATAACCTGCATTCACCGCACTCTCCACTGCAAACACTCTTTTACACCCCAAAAACAAAACCCCACAAATCATCGCCACCAAAACAACCCCGCGCCTCATCACAACTTCAACAGCATCCGGATTACTCACGGAATAATTCGACAAATTCTCGCTACTCCTGACTAGTACCGATCTCAACGGAACTTCATTGCGAAGAACCAAATTATTTTGGAACCCGGCATCGTAACAGCCCGCGGACGTGCTCGGGCCAGCACAGCTCACCGCGAACCGATACGAATGCCGGTAATCTCTCGGGAGAAATCTCACGGGCAATCTCCTCCGTCGGTCGCCGCAGACCACCAAAAACGGCGACTTCGCGCCGGAGAAAAACGCGTGCCGACTACAAATCGAAGATTCGAGCGCCATGTCTAGGGATTGAAGCCGACGGAAACCGAACAAAAGCAAAGCCCAGAAAAATATAGAGCAACGTTCATGTGTTCCTTCTGGTTTCCTGGCGATTAAACCGATACTGCAGAGGAAGAATCGATGCAGCGCGCATCAAATGCGGGCTAGCTAAAGACGAACGCGGCAAAAGGGATCCATCAAAAGCTTCTGAATCCGCCATTCTCCTTCCTTCTGCATGGTCCCGGATTCTCCCCCCGTACGGCGTGAGGCCGGAGACGGGAATTGGAGTCGGAAGGATGGTGGGCGGGCTTTAGGGCTTCATTGGGCGCGCGACGCCGAGGGAGAGACGATGAAAGTTGAGATTTTTGGAGACGGAAGGAGCAAATTCCGGCGGAGAACTGGAGGAGAGATTGGGAGCAAAAGCCGGCTCAGGATTTCTGCGCGCTCTGCAACTATTTTGGTGTTTTGTTTGGTGGGCGAAAGAAGACCGTGCGGTGTAGGCATGGAAGACGGGGCAAGTGGGGAATCAACTGAAATTACGACGCAGCCCCTCGCATCCCAAAAAAAGTACAAATTGTTTTGAGACGGTGTTCGCTCGTTTTACGACGAGGAATATCCTCCACCGAAATTTCGATTTTCGATTTTTATTAAGGTAGGTTCTGTGGTTTGATTACTAGGAGAGTTGTAATGAAAGATAAAGTGTAACACATGATTATATGGAGCGGATAGAAATCGAATGGACTGGAAATGGATTTGAGATCAACAAAGTTTCGCACTACGTTACAATACTTGAACGCTAACTAAAACTGCAGGAAGCTGTAAATGCAGGAAACAAAGGTATGAAGGAAACTAAAGTGCAAATAAGCTTGATTGGTTTGCATTGTTGTTGGATCTCTTCCTCTTTGCTTCCTCTGAGTATTTGTATCTCCTCCTATCCTGTAACTGCTCGTCGGTTACTTCCATGTTTTCAAACTTTGAATTTTGGCGCTTCCAATAACTGCCTTTTCTAACCACGTTTTTCCAGTTTTATTGTCCGCCAAAACCTGATCTCAACCGCTGAGATGACTTCAAATCTGGACAAGTAACTTCCCACAATATGCTCATGCTCACTATCTCCGCTTTTGCTCACAACTTCTTGCTATCGTGATTTACGTGGCTGGGCTGTGATTCTTCAGTATATTCCCAAAGTGTAAACCTCCCGAGTTTTGGAAAAGGGTCGCTGTCCTGAGGCATAAATATTCCAACGTCTCGAACTATAACTTTCATGTTTCGGTAAATATACATATTTTCATCAATTACCGAATTCGGGACATGATGCCATTCACGCTTGCTTCTCAGCATGTTTCCGAATTTGGTCCAGACGTGTTTCAGAAGATGGCTGATTTTCATTATACACCAAATTCGGCATTAAAGCCAACTCAGCGTTTATGCCGATTCTCATTTTGGTGTCAACAGATGGTAATTACTAAATTACTAGTGAGTGATCGAGGTACGATAAATTGTTGTTAATAATACAAACTGTTTTCAAAGATCGGTACACCAGAAAGTGTTATCGGGCTAGAAGCGTTTGTCGCGGGTTGACTCATTGTTCGTCGACATGTTCTTTTTCAATTTGATATCAATCTTCTTCGGCGGTTGTTAAGTTTTTCGGTGTTAATGTGCAGATGTGTGTATGTGTGTGGGATTGATTCGGCAAAAGGAGCAGCAAGGGCAAGGAAATGTTTATTGGATTGTTTGTGAATTACAAAGGACGGAGAGGAGCTTTGTTTCAGATGGGCAGAGTAGTTATGTGGACTGATTTCTTTTATGTGAAATGGCGGATGTCCCTGTTAACGATTTCCGACCATAATTAGTCAAATGGACTATATTGACAAATCGCCAAAATATTTAGAACTCAGTTAGCACAATTGAAATGCTTATGACTAAAATGACACAAATGCACTACGTTTAGAACTTTTTTGGTACTTTTCCTTAGGGGTGAGCATGGTTCTAGGAAGAACCAAACCAATGGAACCTGTCGATTCCAAGTTCCAAAATATGCATGGTAGGTTCCAAGTTCCAAAAATTGAGGAGTAAGTTCCAGTAACTAGGTAAGTGGAACCTTGAACCTGACACCTTGAACTTGACACCTCGAACCTGAAACACATTTTTGTGTTTTTTTTGTCTACGTCTTTGCGTGATCATGTAATTTTCTATGGTGTCCGATAATGAGTGTATAATATGAAACCACTAGTCTGAGGTGGTCATTGAAAGTGATGATTTTGGACTTGACGAGGTTCAACCTATTTATGTGGCTTATCAAGTATATTATTTAGCATTTGACACAAGCCCAATTTAATTAAATATATTATGGGCCATATATTTGTGACATTCAATTAGGAATATCTTAAACCTTGATGGACGGTTGAGATTTGGCAGCGCTAGGGTTGGTCCCATCACTCCAAGGTATCTTTTTGGTGGAGAATGAATGCATCTAATTATCACGCTTCCTCTATTCTCCACAAAATTGTTGAGAAAAAAATACACACTCATCACAATCGTTATAGAAAAGAGTAATGAAGATTCATACCCACAGAGACAGCTTCTTTGCTTCTTTCTCATTGGATCACTAATGGCTTCTTTTGATTCGGATATACTATATTTATCAATTTGATCTCGTGTTCATGTGATTAAAAAATCCTATTAATCTAACAGGTTATTCACTGCAATCTTTCAATTAAAGGTTTAAGGGTTGGTTCCAAATTTCAGGTATACGTGGTAGGTTCTGAGTTCCAAAAAATGAAAAATCTGTTTCCATGAATAGATTCCAGATTTCAGATGAACCTGTATGGAATCTAGAACCGCTCACCCTCACTTTTCCCCTATTATAGTGTAGTTGTTTTGTAGACCGGCACATGAACAAGCATCATCGCAGCCCAACTTATGGGCATTCTTCGCAGACTCTATATGAAAAGATCTCTGCTTTTGTTGGAGTAGGCTGCACACTTCACCAACCACGAGTAGACTGGATTCTCCTAGACATTGCTAGAGGATCCTAGACTTTTGAGAAATATTGATCAAGTTTTAACATTCACGACGAGAATATTCAATGTTTTTTGTCTTTAAATATTTGTTGAATGTCTCTCGAGCCTCGAGCGAAAGGAAGCAAATTTGCGTGCATGTCTGTGCTTACACAAGCTACTGCAAAAACTACAGAGCTTGCTCCTTGAAATCACATTACATTTCTTGAAGTTAATTCAGACCAGTAATAAACACGCGAACCCATGAAGAAAAGAGAGGGGAAAATCAAGAAGAATGAATAGAAAACCCATCAGCAGTCCAAAACATATGTTATAAAAGCAGCAACGTACAGGCAGTCTCATCTTCCACGAAAGCTAGGACGATTCTTCCTTGGCTTCTTCATCTCGGGTCTTCTGTGTTGGAAGACTGTGTTTCCCGTGGACAGCCCACATACCAATCCACATCCATATCTGAGCGAGATTATCTGCCAGTGGAAGAAGCTCGCGCCCTCGGAGTCATCTTCTTGGACGGATGTTGGTGGTGGCGGTTGACCTCCAACGTCGTCACAAGGTTATGACAGAGGAAAGCTACATAATGCCGAGTTACCAGCCAAGCAGTCAGTTTTTGAAAGTGTTGAACTGGTTGCCTTGGGGAATAGGACCAGTAGGTTGATTTCCTGAAAGGTTTAGGAACAAGCAGAGCCGTACGGTCCTTCAGTTCTCCAGGAATTGTGCTGCTGAGCTTGTTTGAAGGAAAGATCTAACCATTCCAGATTGGCAAGATCTCCGATCAATCGTGAAATGCCTACTGTGATATTGTTTCTGGTAAGGTTCAGGCTTTGAAGAAAGATGAACTTTCTGATGGCGTCTGGAATATCCATTTAAAAATTGTTGTAACAGATCAATGGTTGCGAAAGTCGTTATAATGTTCTCCGTCACAACCTCCCAAAACCCTTCACAGCCACTGTCACGGAATCTTGATACAATTCATCACCTAGACACTGTGGACTATATTGCTTTGCATCCACGGTCATCATAGCTCTCAAATGTTCAATATAACTCAAAATGACAAGGGACGACCAAAACAGTTGCTAGAAGGATCCAAAATTTGCAACTTTGGGAATGAATGGTCTGCACCGGAACGTTGGACCAAACCGTTGAATTTATTTGACTTCAAAACAAGGACTTGCAGATATGGTCAGGGTTCCAACCAGCTCGGGAACGTGTCAGTGAAGATCTAAAACTTCTAGCATTTGACTACCTAAAAACTATCCAGGCTGTGGTCCTTCACGTCTATTTCGACTGAAATTAACAGTCCTTAAGTTATTATTAGTTCTGAGCAATTCAGGAAGCTCGCCACGCAAGTTATTCATGTGGAGGTTCAAAACCAAGAGACTCGTATTGGAATGTTAACATAAAATGCAGAATTGTGCCAGACAAACTTTTATTAGACAAGTCAAGGACTTTGAGGTTGGCCGCATTGCAACTGGAGGAAGATGAATGACTCTCATGTAAACCTATTGTTGGAGAAGAAGTAAAAGCCGTTGTTGGCTCCAGGAATTGGAACTGACCCCACAAACTTGTTACCAGAGAAATCAATGATTACCGGTCTTTGAAAATGCTTAATTGACAGATGACCACTGGAATCATTATCTGAGGTGTTGATGCTAAATAGACTTGGAAATGGATATCTAGACGTAAATTTGTCTAGAGCTCCACAGAACTTGTTCAACTGCAGATTGAGCATTCTTAAAATGGGCAGAGTTTCCATCCAGAAAGGGAAAACATCCTCTATGACGTTGTTACTTAGATCTAGTGAAGATAGTCTGGCACAGATCAACAAAGATAGAGGTAGAGGGCCTTCCGAGTGATTATTATTCAATTCTAGCTATGTGACATTGCTTAGGTTTCCAAGGCACTGGAATGCGGCCACTGAGACCGTTAAAAGCCAGTCTCAGAAGTTCGAGTTGCATATCGAAGTAAGACTCTCCTTTGTAAAACTGTTTTCGCCCATGTCCAACTGAAGCACGGAGGAGTGCAAAAGTGGTGGCGGCCTCTCTAATTTGTTTTTGTTCATAATCAATCACCAGAGATTAGTTAAATTTGTGAAGCCTCGTGGGATATTGCCGGTAAGGTTGTTGCTAGATATGTTTAGTACAACAAGGGAACTAGCATATCAAATTGTAGAAGAAATCTCACCATCGAAAATATTGTTTGCAACCCCGTTGTAAGTTGCAGAAGGTGATACTGTCCCACGAGCAGCAATGGATGCTATCTTTCCATGATGAAATGGCATCTGCAACTTCATCGCACTTGGAAATGCTACTGCTGGAAAGTGATTTGCGAAATTTGAGCAGTGCAGTCCTCTGGTCATTCAGGCACATTCGCCTTGAAGAAGCAGAAACTGGTAGATGTAAGAACAAAACAGTAGAAGGAGGTGATAAAAACTTGTCATTTTTGTCGGTGTCTTTATTTCATGATGTGGCAAGATGTGAATTTAGTGAAATGGATGAGCGCTCAAGCTCTTATAGCTGCACAAGTCAATGGTCGTGGTCAAGTCGGTTCCTCAATTAGGACAGATCAAAAATAATATGTTACAGATTATGCCTGTGCCAGTTCAGTTGACTCGTGTCTTCCCTACATGTATTAGTCTGTTGATCATTTCTTTTTGGCTAGTTCTAAGAAAAATCACTAATTTCTGCGTCTGTCTCTGGTCTTTACCCTGGCATTTGCCAAAGAATTATTAACCTTTCTGTACAGTTTAATCATTAATATGGAGAGCTGCACTTTTATAGCATTAAGTTGATATTACCAGGCCTTTTTTAAAACTGGTTTGAAGCATCTTCGGCAAGCGCATTGACCCCATGAGGGACTAAAAAGTTAACGTCTAAAAAGGATTGATCCGGCCGTATTATTCTAAGTTCTTTACGTCCCTAATGAAGCTTGGGGTAAGGAGCATGAACTGAAATTTGAATGAGCGAGTGTGATGTTAACTGGTATAGCTTTATATGGTCCAGCAGCAAGCCCCAAGCTCTATCATTAATGCAACCCTTTTTTAATCAATAAATGCATCGTTATTTAAAGCTGGTAATTATGACTTTCAGGAGCAGGATATGTATTCAAGTGATGTACGATGAAGGTGTACATGATCCATAGGAGAACTGACATAGACAGTAAATTTTGGGAGTCCATTCAAAGTCCTATATTATTGTAGGGAGTGCAATTCAGTACCTTACCTTTCGGAGATTTAAGTCACAAAATTCATCTTTCTGCTTAAAAGCTAATGCTAAAAGTGTGGAGCTAGCTCCTTCAGATCAAATTGCATTTCTTGACATAAACACATACGAGTATAAACTGCAAAACACATGAAACAGTGAAGAAAGGAGGGTAAATGAACAGAAAACGAAAACAGACCAGTTGTCCAGAACACATGCTATCATAAGAACAAACACAAGTATTCTCATCTTCCGTGAAATCTAGGAAGGTTCTTCCTTGGCCTCTTTGGCCTTTTGCAGAACTTCTCCTCGAACATTCTAACAAACCATTCAGGTCTTCTGGTTTGGAAGACAATGTATCCCATGGACAATCCACCTATCAGTCCGCATCCATATCCCATCAAGATTATCTTCCAGTCAAAAATATTTGTACGCGCAGAATCTTCTTCAGGGATGGAAGGTGGTGGTGGTTGATTTTCATGGCTATCACAAGCTTTTGACAGGGGAAATCCGCATAATCCCAAGTTACCGGCAAAAGAGTCATTATCGAAAGTATTGAACTGATTGCCTTGGGGAATAGGACCAAAGAGTTGATTTCCTGAGAAGTTTAGGAACGACAGAGCCGTGAGGTCCTTCAATTCTCCAGGAATTCTTCGACTGAGCTTGTTAGTTGAAAGATCTAGCCATTCCAGATTGGCAAGATTGCCAATCGACTGTGGAATGTGTCCTGTGATGTTATTTCCAGAGAGGTTCAGGCCTCGAAGCGAGATGAGCTTTCCAATGGCATCCGGAATCTCCATTTGGAAATTGTTATTGGACAGATCAACGGTTGTAAAAGTCGTTAAAATCTTCTCCAACGCAATCTCTGAACCCTTAATAGTGATTGTCACGGAATCTCGATACAAATCTTCCCCTATATATTGCGGACTGTATTGATTTGGCAAAAGGACACCAGAAGTGCCATAAGTTGTGTACGGAGATCACTTTGATGCCATAACTTTTTTTCGGATCACTTTGGTGCCAAATCGGAGGAAAATATATCACTTTAGTGACTCCGGCCAAAATTCCGACCAAAAAGCTGATGTGGCATTTATATTTAAAAAAAAATGGTCTGACTTGTACACGATGAAATTATGTGGCTTTTTTTTGAATTTTTTAATCTTTTTAATTTTTTTTTTTTCCTAACTTTTTCCCGGTCGCCGGTCCAGGCAACCGGCCCAAAGGGGAGGGCCGGCGAGGCCGACCTCGCTGGCCTCGCGGCCCGCCCCGCACGGCCCCCAGGGTCGGCGAGGTCTTGACCTCGCCCAGCAAAGGCAAGGTCGACCTCGCCGTCGCCTGGGTCGAGGCGACGGCGAGGTCGGCCTTGCCTTTGCCGGGCGAGATCGGCCTCGCCTTTGCCGGGCGAGGCGAGACCTCGCCGTCGCGACCCGGGCGACGGCGAGGTCGGCCTCGCCGTGCGATCACGAGCGAGGCGGCTCGCCCGCCGGCCACCGGCCGAGCGAGCCACAATCTTGCGAGGCCGACCTCGCCATCGCCCGAGTCGCAACGGCGAGGTCTCGCCTCGCCAGCAAAGGCGATCGCTTCGTCTCAGCGAGGGTCGCTGGGCCCGGCCAGGGGCCGGCGACCCTCGCCCACCACTGCCGGCCCTTCCCGGCGGTGGTGGGGTGGCAGCAGCAGCGGCGAGGGAGCCCTCACCGTTGCTGCAATGTTTGATTTTTTTTTTCAATATAAATAAATATAATATAAATTTTATTTTTCTAAAAAAGTACACGTCAGCGGACTAAACGGCGTCGTTTTTTGTTTTTAATGCTGATTGGACCTCTCCGGCGAGCCATGGACCTCTCCGGCAAGCCATGGACCTCTCCGGCGAGCCATGTCAGCGCCACGTAAGATTTCCGGCAAGCCATGTCAGCATTGGCACTAAAGTGATCGTTTTTCAAAAAAGTTGGCACCAAAGTGATCCGAAAAAAAGTTATGGCACCAAAGTGATCTCCGTACACAACTTATGGCACTTCTGGTGTCCTTTTGCCGTATTGATTTGCACCCACTGTCATCATTGCTTGTAAACATTCAATGAACTCAGATGACAAAGGACCACCGAAATGGCTGCTGGAAAGGTCCAAAATTTGCAACTTTGGGAACGAATAATCTGCATCGGGACTTTGGACCGAGCCGTCGAAGTTATTCAACTTCGGGACAAGGACTTGCAGTTTGGGGAGGCTTCCCAACCAGCGTGGGAACGTGTCCTCTATCATGTTATAGCTAAGATCCAGAACTTCCAGCATTTGGCAGTTTAAGAGAGATCGAGGAACAACACCGTCAAGTCTATTTCGACTGAAATCAAGAGTCCTTAAGCTGCTATTACCTCCGAGTATTTCAGGAAGTTCACCTTGGAAGTAATTCATGCGAAGGTTCAAAACTGAGAGACTCGTATTGGAACTTGTCAAACAATTAGGAATAGTGCCAGACAAGCTGTTGTTAGACAAGTTTAATACTTCAAGATCGCTCGCATTGCAGATCGAAGAAGATACTCCTGCAAACTTGTTGTTCGAGAGCGAGTACAACAGAGTCCTGGCTCCAGGAATCGGAACTGAACCGTCAAACTTGTTGTTGGAAAGATCAACCTGATGTGCACTCTTAAAAGGCTTAGTTGACAAATGACCACGGAGATCATTATGAGCAAGGTTGATCTCAAATAGACTGGGAAATGAGAATTCGGCCACAAACTTGTCTAAAGGTCCGTGAAGCTTGTTTGAGTCCAGTTTGAGAGTCTGTAATATAGGCAGACTCTCCATCCAGAAGGGAAAAGTATCATTTATCATGTTGTGGCCGATATCAACTGAAGTCAGACGAGTACAGTTCACCAAGGAAGGTGGAAGAGACCCTTCCAACTGATTATTTCTCAAGGCCAATCCCGATAGCGAGCTTATGTTTCCTATACACTCAGGGATTCTGCCATTGAAGAAGTTGTCCGACAACGCCATATCTCCAAGAATCTTCAGATCACAGACTGAAGAAGGAATCTCCCCAGAGAGTTTCCCCAGGCATACAATCGACGCAGGGATTGCGGAAGCGGTAGCGACCCCCCTAATTTGTTATCATTCAAGGCCAACCACCACAGACCGGTCAGATTTGCCAAACATTGTGGAATGCTACCGGTGAGGTTGTTCTCAGACAAGGTCAGCATAAGAAGAGAACTGGCATTGCAAATTAGAGACGGGATGTCTCCGTCGAACCTATTGCCTGCAGCGTAGAACGCAGTCATGGAAGGTGGTGGAGCAGGGAGTTGTCCCTGAAGCAGATTATTCACAATCCCAATTGTATCCAGTTTCCACAGGGGAATTTGCCTTGGAGTTCCTCCAGTTAAAAAGTTATTCGAAATATCTATAGAAAACAAAGATTCCCTTCCCGCCTCCCATAACCATCCTGGAATCTCACCATAAATCATATTGGAAGACAGATCTAGTGTCGTCAATCCCCTGTTAAGTGTCGATGAGATGTTGGGGAATTCACGGAGGCTGCAGTCTTGTAAACTTAGTGACCCTAGACTAGGAAAAGTATAATTCTTGTCACTATCGACATTGACTGATAGACCTGAAAGAACTAACTCTTCAAGGCGGTACAGCAGTGTAAACACTCCAAGGTCCACATTACCAGTGAAGTTGATAAATGAAAGATACATTCCCGTGAGGTGCTCAAGGTTTCCAAGTGAGAGTGGCATACGACCAGTAAATTGGTTTGAAATGAGTTTCAGAAAAGTGAGAGATGTGAGATTCCCAAGAGATGGTGGAATTGAGTTTGTAAACTCGCACCTTTCTAGATTCAAAATCTCCAAGTACTTCAGATTGCCAATTGAATAAGGTAAGCCCCAGAAAAGCTTGTGAAAGAGAGATCCATAAGAATGAGCGGACTAGTCCGGTTAAACTTTGGAAGAGTGCCAGTGAGATCTTGATTTTGTTGCAAACTAATAGCTTGCAGATTTGGAAACGAAAAGATGTATTCTGGGAAAATTCCTGTCAATCTACAAGAGTGAAGGCTAAGGGAAGTCAAAGCAGAAGACATATTCATCCAGGAACTTTGCTCTATCATAGACAAGCCTATGCCATCAAGAAAAAGTTCCCTCAGCACCGTCAGATTCTGAAGGAGCCTTGCCAAACTGGTATTGTCAAATATAAGACCAGTAAAAGAGAAATCAAGTGAAGTAAGTTTGGCAAGACAAGAGATTTCAAGACGAACGGGCCCGACGAACCCAGCAAAAGAAGGTCAAGATGTGTCATGCTTGAAAACTGACCAAACTCGGGTGATAGTGCAGACCCACTAAAATAGTTGCCAGCAAGATTGAGCCTGGTAAGGTGTGAAAGGGAGAAGAGGCTGCTGTTTGGAAGGATAAGTCCTTGAAGCTGGCTGCAACTTAGATCAAGATCATTGACATTACCTGTTGCATTATCACAGGTAACGCCGTCCCAGGTGCAGCAGTCCGTGCTTTCCCTCCACAAGTTTGTCTTTGGATAAGAAGTGACTCCAGTGACGAGACAGTCGGAATTGTTGATAATTGAGAATGACCTGCTGAAGCGGAGCAAGGCAGTGCTCTGGTCAGTCAAGCACACGTGCCTCGAGGAAGAAGCAACTGACAAGTGCAATATCAAAAAGGATAGGAGGAAGACTTGATAGCATTCCATCATTTCTAGTTAAAACTATGTTTCCAAGGAACATGAAGGATGTATGGGCAACTTTATAGCAGGTTGAGTTTAGAGTGTCCAGCAAGGAGTATCTTCCTCGAAAAGCTCAAGGTAATAAAATATGAAAAAATGATCCAATAACATTCTGTTAAGTAGAGTTCGCTCAAGAACTTCTTGTTGTTCAGGATTAAAACTTTTAGGTCATCGTAGGAAGAAAGACCGGGAGCCTCTACAGCTTCGCGTGGTCTTTTGATTGGACTTTTTGGGTACCAACATCTTTTAGGTGGGTTCACATTATCAGATGGAGTGAAAAGAACTTGTTGACCGTTTCTATTATGTTCGTCGTCGTACAATACCTGTTCACATGTTAACAGATTTCCACAAGATGAGGACGGCAAAAAATTGTTAGATTATGACAAAATCATTAATCTTTTTTATGCTGGTTTAGAAAGGAATTCAAGTCGTCTCCTTCTCCTCTGCATTTAAAGAATTTAAGTCAAGCAAATGACTACAAATGAGAGCATAAACGGACAAGCACATCATGTAAACTGAATGAAGGACTTGCCTTGTCGTTATATTTTAGAATAAGCAGTTCCTCCAAGGAAACCTGAGGCAAAATGTATCAACGAAAATTCAAATGAGTAAGTCTGTGTGCATTTAATCAGTCTCCCACTGAGAGTACATAGTGAGCTGCAACATATAGGTGCAGCTGAGAAACGAAAGGATGCAATATGTCCTACCAAGTCTCAAATCCACGTCCAATATTCTCAACCTTCAAATCTCCGTATTCACATCAATGATTCAGCATATCATTTGGCATATCATGTTTTGACTTGTTCTACTTTCTTTAACACGGTTGTTGAAGATGTCACATTGTGAATGCTCGCTGCCCAGATATCTGGATGCTTGCTTTTCAACAAGCCAATTGCCTTTTATCTTCGGACAGTCCTGCTAAATTGACTTTTGTGCTATTCAGGATACAACAAACTATATCCAACTATGCCTTGGCGAAGATGAGAACGTATGGCACTAAACTAATCAAGAAATCTTGTGAATGATTATAGGTGGATTATAGGTGGAACAGGACAGCATTGGGTCAGATCAGGGGCGAAGCCGATCACATTGCAGCAGGACAATGACTTTCTGAATTGGAGCAATGCATTGGGTTAATCATGGAGGCACACTTGGTGATTATGCTTCAATTTGTAAGTGGCTTGGTCACAATATCTTCACTTGACCAGGTTTAATGAAAGGTTATTTAACCATTTCCATAGCTCTCTTTCTTTGACAAGTCCTCTCTGTGAAATGCAATAAAATCAAATATATACACCACGAAATATTCAGTAGGTACAAAGTGCCCATCTAACAAGGACGGCATTTCTTTTAACTGTATATAGCTCATCCTTTTCTCCCACTATAGGAAGAAGGGTTAATGGCGACGTTTTTTTGGAGACGGGACCTATTATTGTCACTCAGCTCCAAAGGTCGGGGATATTTCCTAATGAATGCCTCTTAGTCAGGGCAATACTGAGCATGCGTCAGGGGGAAAAATAACAGCGGCTTTAACTTTGCATCCCCGAAATATGTGCAGAGACGTCATGTACTTCAGCACATGACTTGCAATTTGGGGGGAAGAGGCATCCTGGTTTAGCAATAAAGCCACAGATGTCTCCTCCTCCTTGTCCAGAGATGATTGAGTAAAAGTACTAGCCAATTGCATCCTTCAGTAGCATAAACCAAGCCATCCAAATCTTTCCATCTTCAGTCCTTCAGTAGAAGCCTGTCAACAGAATAAAATGTGCAACAAAGCCAGTCTCTGTCAACTTTGCAACGGAAATTCCGCTAAGTTTTCATTTGACTGGCGTTAGAGCCGACACGATAAAGTGCAAACCATGACCAGGACAAATTTTTCTAACTTATTGCTACATCTGCAATCTGTGGGAGCAAAGAAGTACCGGTCGCTCCTTTTTCTGTTAAAGTTAGAAAAGGATAAGAAGTTGAAAACATGCCAGGCTCAAAAAGATAGAAGAAACAATAATCAAGCAGAAATTAGCAAGGCAAATAAATAATATGCAAAGGAGCTGAAGATAGTCACCGTGAGAACTCCTTGCTTAGCTCATCTTCCATAAATTCTAGGAGGATTTCTCTTTGGCTTTCTAATCCTCGCAAGATTTTTTTATCTTTCTTACTAAAAACGAAAGATAAGAATTTCTTATTATGTCATAATTACGAATTACATCAGTATATATAGCGAGCATTAGGGTTCACTGACAATGAAAAAGACTAAAATACCCTTCAACACTCCCCCTCAAGTTGGGGCATAAATATTAAAGAGCCCCAACTTGTTACATAAAGTAGTCACTCTATTACCCCGCAATGACTTAGTGAAAAGATCAGCAAATTGGTCTTCGGTCCGTGTGTATTGAAGTGTTATGTCCTTGTTCTGAATCTTTTCTCGCACAAAATGACAATCTACTTCAATATGCTTCGTGCGCTCATGAAAAATTGGATTTGAAGCGATATGCATGGCGGACTGGTTATCACAACACAAAACTAAGGAAGCTGAAGATGGCATGCTAAGTTCAGATAATAACATCCTTAACCAAAGTAATTCACTAGTCATATGAGCCATGGCTCGATATTCTGCCTCTGCACTTGATCGAGACACCACCTGTTGCTTCTTCCTTTTCCAACTCACAAGATTGCCTCCCAAGAACACACAGTAGCCAGAAGTTGATCTCCTGTCAATAGGACATCCTGCCCAATCAGCATCAGAGTAGCCAGTGACATTAAGATGTTCATGATTCTTGAACAAAATTCCTTTACCTAGTGCTCCCTTCAAGTACTTAACAACACGTAGCACTGCCTCCCAATGTGTAGTGCGAGGAGCACTCATAAATTGACTAACCACACTAACAGCAAAGCAAATATCTTGTCGTGTGACAGTTAATAGTTGAGCTTACCCACTAACCTCCTATACTTACTAGGATCATGAAGTAAGTCTCCATGCTCTGCATCAAGTTTCACATTAGGATCCATCGGAGTATCGACAGGCTTAGCCCCAAGAAAACCAACCTCACTGAGGATATCCAAAACATATTTTCGCTGTAATAATGAGATACCATCATGTGAGTAGGCCACTTCAATGCCCAAGAAATACCGTAGACGACCCATATCTTTTGTACTGAACTCTGTCCGTAAAAACTGTTTCAACTTTTGTATGCCCACAGAGTCACTACCAGTGACAATAATATCATCCACATACACAATTAGGAGAACACATCCTGCAGAAGAAGTGGAACTAAATACAGAATGATCCACGGTACAACGTTGCAAGCCAAACCGAATAACTGCATCACTAAAACGACCAAATCAGGCATGAGGAGATTGTTTCAACCCATATAATGCCTTGCGCAGGCGACAAACACTAGTAGACTCCCCCTGAGCAACAAACCCCGGAGGTTGCTCCATATATACCTCCTCTGCCAAGTCGCCATGAAGGAAGGCATTCTTGACATCAAGTTGATGGAGAGTCCAACCATATCGAGCAGCAAGAGAAATGAAAACACGAACAGAAGGCATCTTTGCGACAAGAGAAAACGTGTCATCATAATCCACTCCATAGGTTTGAGTGTAACCTTTGGCCACTAGACGCGCCTTCAGACGCTCAACAGAACCATCCGGTTGAAACTTCACTGTAAAAACCCAACGACACCCCACAACCTGTTTGCCAGCAGGTAACGGTGTAAGGTGCCATGTCCCATTATCCTGTAACGCCTGCATTTCATCCTCCATAGCTCGCCGCCAACCTGGATGAGCAAGGGCCTCTGCAACAGTACTTGGCACAGACACGGTAGATAAAGAAGCAACAAACGAGGAATATGTTGGAGAAAGATAATCATAGGATAAAAACTTAGAAATAGGGTGACGAGTATGTGTATGACAAGACAATGCAGTATAGGGGGTAAATCGGGAATTGGGTTGACCGACGCAAGAACGCGTACCTTTGCGCAATGCAACAGGAATATCAGTAGTAGGATCAGGCTCAGAAGAAACTGGCGGATCAAAGGCCGAGGCATTAATTGGCGGAGAATCATGCATATCCAATGTGGGCGGCGACTATACTACCTCACGTTGAACAGGATGACGCCGTTGATAAGTTTTGTCAGCAAACTGGAAATCAGGTGGTGCCTTAGGTATACTTGGCAAGGAAACAGGCGGTAAAGGAGCTATGGCCGAGGACAATGTATCTTCGGAAGGAGTCACCGGTTGGGTAGTAGAGGAGTAATATGACTGATCCTCGAAAAAAGTTACATCTGCCGAAACATACAACCGCCGACTAACAGGATTATAACACTTGTACCCTTTCTGAGTTCAAGAGTACCCAAGAAACACACATTTATCAGCTCGTTGATCGAGCTTGTCATGACCAGGACCAAGACGATGCACAAAACAAACACAGCCAAACACACGGAGTGGTAAAGAAAAAAGTGGACTTGTAGGATGGAGAGCAGAGAAAGGTATGCTTCCACGAAGCACAGAGGATGGGAGACGATTTATAAGATAGCATGCTGTAAGAATAGCATGCCCCCAGAATGTTTTGGGGAGGTTCATATGGAAAAGAAGACAACGAGCAACATCCAAGAGATGGCGATTTTTTCGTTCCGCCACCCCATTCTGCTGGGGAGTGTAGGGACAAGATGTCTGATGTAGAATCCCATGAGATATAAGAAATGATTGAAAATCAGTGAAAACAGCCATATATTCTTTGGCATTATCGAAGCACATACATTTAATAGAAACATGATACTTGTTGGGTTTATTATTTATTATAATGTTAACAAGTTGGGTTATTTCTGTAATTGTGCTAGGCTTAAGGTTAAGCCTATATATATACTTCTTGTGTTTTCTTTGTAACTTAACAAAAATAGAAGAGAGAGAAAGCCAACTTTTTCCACATGGTATCAGAGCATTGGCTCTCTTTTCTCTCTCTCTCTTCATCTCCTCCAGCTCGTGCCCTACCCGTGCGAGCTCTCCTTCTCGCCTCCAGCTGGTGCGACTAAGCTGCTCCAGCTGGTGCGACCTGCTCCAGCTCACTTGGCGGGAGAAGTGAGCCCGGTTGAAGTTTTGGGTCACACTCATTTCTCGCCTCTAGCTTGTGCGACTGAGCCGCCTCCCTCTCCTGTTCGCCGCGTGCTCAAGGCCGATCGTGGTCCTCAATTTCATGTGGAACCTGGTCTTCGCGGTGGTCGTGCTCCTGTCCGCCTTCAAGGAGAGGTTGTCCACTCCTCTAAGGCTGTGGCTCTGCGGATGATTAGTCAAAGATCACGTGGGTTACGGCGTTGAAAGGATTTTCAAAGCTAAGCGTGAAGCGAGTTCTTCATGTGCGCCGAGTACCGGCGGAGGGACGGGGACGATGAGCTTCTAGGTGTGAGCGGACTGTCGCGGCTGCCGATTCGCAGCAGGTGAGGCCTCGATTCGTGTATTCTGAGACGTTACATTGGTGTATTGCCCGTGTTGTTGCTGTTCCGAGCTGAAAATTGAAGCTTTATGGGTTGTAAGGACTCGTTTAATTGTTATTGTGGTGTCATTTTGAATCGATCAGTGAGTTTTTTATGAGGTGATCAATCTATGTTGGTGATAGTAGTAGTTGGCTAAGGGACGTGTGATCACTAGACATTGGTTCTTTATTTGGAAGTGGTGTTGAAGACAGATTTTTGTTGGGGGTTTCCGATTAGTCAAATTTGTGGATATGTCTACGGATCCAGCAAACTCTCCGTCTAATGTTTCAGGGGTGATCCCTCCTAATGCTACTTCTAGTTCAGGGTCTTTTGGTACCTATCAGAGTGGTACTCATGGTATGACAGGCTTACACACTACCTTGGTTAAGTTGGATGGTACCAATTATCCTACTAGGTCAATGGCTCTTTCTACTTTTATTTATGCTAATCGTCAGTCTAGATGGCTTGAAGAGGAACCACCTGCAGATCCAGCTAGTCAAGAAGAATGGAAGGTCACTGATGCTACATTGCATACTCTTTTATGGGGGAGTATGGCTGAATCTGTCCGCCATCTTTTCATGGATTGTACGACAGCCCGTGAGGTATGGACAAAATGTGCTCTACTCTATTCTGGACAGAATAATATGAGTCGAGTTTGTGATATGTGGGAAGCTTTATTTGAAGCTAAAATTGGTGATGCCGGGTTGGGAGAGTATTATGCTCGTTTTTCATTCTTTGTATCAACGTCTCAAATCCTACCTTCCACCGGCTACCACGGTTACTCAAATGCAACAACGAGAAGTGAATATGGTGGTAGTCCTCTTCCTTCGAGGTCTTGGTCCAGGTCACAATGCCCTTCCGCAACAGATTACTTCTTTGGACTCTCTACCTTCCATAGAAGAAGTGTACTCTCGAGCTGCTCGTTATACTTCGAGTCCCCAAACTTTAGTTATATCACACAGTAGTGCTATGGTGGCTCGTGGTGGTCAACGAGCTCGTGGTCGTGGTCGTGGTCGTGGTGTTCAGGGCCGAGGTGCCCCTCGCGGTGGTGGTAGTAGCAGTTCTAAAGGAGCTAGTGGGGGTCGTTTTTGTACTCATTGTCAGCATACAGGACATACTGCTAATTATTGTTACGACCTCCATCCTGAGCTACGGGGTCTACATGTTTCAACTCCTTCATCTAGACCACCGTCTGGACAGAATATGGTACATTTGACTCATGCAGAATATGATGAGCTAATTGAGGCACGACAGCTTGATGTTCCTTCAGGTCCAGTTGCTACCTTGGCACATCACAATGATCCTACTTGTCTCTTGTCCACTATAGCGACCCCTCGTCCTTGGGTTATTGATTCGGGTGCCACTCATCATATGACTGGTGATTAGCATCTTCTTACCTCAACCTCATCAGCTTCGTCCACGTCAGTCACTTTGGCAGATGGTTCTCAGTCCAAAGTGACAGGTTCAGGTTGTGTATCATTGAGTTCGTCTTTGTCCTTACTATTTGTTTACCATATTCCAAACTTTCCTCATAATCTACTATCTGCCAGTTCTCGTACCCGTGAACTTGACTGTGATATTATCTTTTCTTTTTCTTCGTGTGTTTTTCAGGATCGGAAGACTGGACATCAAATAGGTGGTGGGCGTGAGGCTGGTGGATTGTATTTTTTGGATCCCGGGATTTTTGCTGCTACCACTACTGTTCAAAGGAAGGCTGTAGATGACTCCTATCGATTACATTGTCGCCTTGGTCACCCCTCAGCAGACGTACTCCGACTTTTTCCTTTTATGTCTAGTTCTAGTCTTCATTTTGATTGTGAAACATGTCAGATGGGGAAACATCATCGTTTGTCTTTTCCCCCTCGTGTTTTGAGTCGTGCGTCTCAGCCATTCGAGCTAGTCCACTCCGATGTTTGGGGTCCTAGTCGGGAGTCTTCTTTTGCTTTCCACTATTTTGTAACATTTATTGATGATTGTACTCGTACAACTTGGTTATATTTAATCAAAGATCGTACCGAAGTGTTTTCTTCTTTTCGCTATTTTTATAATGAAGTTCGTACTCAATATGGCTATCCTGTTAAGTGCTTGCGCACTGACAATGCTCGTGAATATTTTTCTTCTTCTACCTTTATTCCATTTCTCGCGTCGCATGGTATTTTACATCAGAGTTCTTGTGCTCACACTCCGCAACAAAATGGGGTTGCTGAACGAAAGAATCGTCATTTGTTGGATGTTGCTCATTGTCTACTTCTCCATACCCATATGCCTAAGTCATTTTGGAGCTATGCTCTTCTTACAGCATGTCAACTTATTAATAGTCTTTCGTCCTCTGTGTTGAAGGGAGCTATCCCTTATGCTCTTCTTCATCTCGATCGTCCTTTGTGGTCTGTTCATCCTCGTATTTTTGGGTGTGTCTGTTTCGTTCATTCTTTGTCTCCTGGATCGGATAAATTATCACCTCGTGCTGAAAAATATATATTTGCCGGTTACTCCCGTACTCAAAAGGGATATGTCTGTTATAGTCCTACTCGCCGTTGGGAGTATGTTTCTGCTGATGTAACTTTCTTTGAGGATCAAGCATATTTTGGTAATGTTTCTCCTCAAGCGCCATTAACGATGGATCTTCTGTCATCTTCTGGACCTTATCAATCGTTGTCGTGTACTCCGACTGCTTCTCAGTCGGAACCACCGCTTGTTCCTTCTACTAATGCTCCGCCAGGATTACCTAGATCAACTCCACTTCAAGTCTACAGACGTGGTCCTCGCCCTATTTGGGGTCGTGCCTCTCCACCAGCAAACGTCCCACCACCACCTCTGACACCGGCTTCTGATCCTCTTCTACCAACTCCTGCCGATTCTCCTATTGCTCATCGTACTCGGTCTCGGTATCCTCTTTCTCATTATGTATCTTATCATAATTTAACCCCTCAGATGTTTCTCTTTGTGTCATCTCTTGCATCTGTATCTGTGCCCAGTAGTGTGCAGGAGGCTTTGGCCCATCCAGGTTGGGCTAGTGCTATGGAGGAGGAGTTGGCTGCATTGCATCATAATAAGACCTGGGAGTTGGTCTCTTTGCCTCCTGACAAACAATTGGTCGGTTGTCGTTGGGTCTTTGTCGTCAAACACCGTCCCGATGGTTCAATTGAGCGTTTGAAGGCGCGTCTTGTTACGAAGGGTTATACTCAAACTTATAGTATCGACTATGATGAGACCTTTTCTCCGGTGGCCAAAATTTCTTCCGTCCGTATCATTATTTCTTTGGCTGCCCGGTTTAAGTGGACTCTTTATCAGCTTGATGTCAAAAATGCATTCCTTCATGGTGATATTCACGAGGAGGTTTATATGGAGCAACCACCCGGGTTCGTTGCTCAGGGGGAGAAGGTGTGCCGGCTACGAAAAGCCCTGTATGGACTTAAGCAATCTCCTCGTGCTTGGTTTGGCCACTTTAGTGATGCGGTTATTACTTTTGGCATGCATCGGTGCAGTGTGGATCACTCCGTGTTTAGTATGTCATCTTCAAAGGGGTGTGTTATTCTTCTTGTTTACGTTGATGATATTATTGTTACTGGGAATGACGTAGAAGGTATACAGTGCCTTAAGCAGTTTCTACAGAAAGAGTTTAATACTAAAGACTTGGGTCGTCTTCGATATTTTCTTGGCATAGAGGTTGCCCATACTAATGACAATATCGCTCTCTCTCAGCGAAAGTATACTCTTGACATTCTTAAGGAGGTAGGCTTGCATGACGCTAGGCTTAGTGACACACCTATGGACCCCGGGGTGAGGCTTGATAATGAACACGGAGAGCTTCTTCATGATCCCGAGAAGTATCGTCGATTAGTAGGCAAGTTAAATTATCTCACTATTACTCGTCCAGATATTTCCTTTGCTGTTAGTGTGATGAGTCAATTCATGAGTTCTCCCCGTACTACTCACTGGCAAGCCATTCTACACATTGTTCGCTATTTGAAGGGAGCTCCAGGTCAAGGACTTGTGTTCCATAATCGGGGTCATCTTCATATAGCTGGTTATTCTGACCCTAAATCTTTGGAGGTGACAGCATACTCTGATGCAGACTGGGCCGGTTGCCCTGTGGATCTTCAGTCTACTTCTGGATACTGTGTCTTTGTTGGTGGCAATCTTGTGTCATGGAAAAGTAAGAAACAACCTGTTGTTTCTCGATCTAGTGCAGAGGCCGAGTATCATGGCTAATGTTATAAGTGAACTTCAATGGGTTCGTATGTTGTTGACTGAGATTGGACTACCTATGACTGGATCATCTACTCTTCATTGTGATAATCAATCTGCTGTTCACATTGCTAGCAATCCAGTGTTTCATGAACGAACAAAGCATATAGAGATTGATTGTCACTTTGTTCGGGAAAAGGTGAATTGTGGTGATATACGGTTGGTGCACACACGATCTGAGGAACAACTAGCAGACATTTTCACTAAACCTCTTCGACGCGGACAAGTCTCATACATTTGCCACAAGTTAGGCCTTTTTTATATGTACTCCCAACTTGAGGGGGAGTGTTGGGTTTATTATTTATTATAATGTTAACAAGTTGGGTTATTTCTGTAATTATGCTAGGCTTAAGGTTAAGCCTATATATATACTTCTTGTGTTTTCTTTGTAACTTAACAAAAATAGAAGAGAGAGAAAGCCAACTTTTTCCACAATACTGATTGAGAATCTCAAAGTAAAACATACGAAAACGGGAAAAAACTTCAATACGATCTTTTATTAAATATAACCACGTTACGCGGGAATAATCATCCACGAACGTAACAAAGTACTTATAACCAGACATATCATTGACACGACACGGTCCCCAAACATCATAATGGACTAACTCAAAAGGACTTGACACACGACTCTGGACACAGGAAGGGAAAGATACTCGATGATGTTTGCCAAATTGACAAGCATCGCACTGGATAAGACTCTTAAATGATGAAACAGGAGAAAAATGACGAAGTATGTCAGGCGGTGGATGACCCATATGACAATGCATCCGAAAGAAGTTTGAGGCAGTACTCTTCTGAACGGCAGCAGCAATAATGTCTTTGTTTAGGTAGTACAACCCATTGGACTCATGCCCTCCACCAATCATCTGTCCGGTCCTCAGATCCTGAAAGACACAACGAGTGGAGGTAAATGTCACAGAACAATTTAAATCTTTGGTAAGGGAACTAACGGAAAGCAAGTTATATGGGAAAGCTGGTAAATGGTAAACAGATGAAAGAGAAAGAGAAGGACCCAATGTTACATTCCCTTGACCAGTGATATGGGACTGTGAGCCATCAGCAAGTGTAACAGGACTAGGTGACATAGGGATAATACTAGACAATAAGTTAGAATTACCGGTCATATGATTGGTGGCACCCGAGTCTACTACCCAGGAAGTGGGTGCAGACGAGAGTAAACAAGACGAACTACCTGAAGAAGTCTGTGCCAAAGTAGCAGTAGGAGCTGAGGAACCCACCACCTGATGGGGGCGTACTAAGGACTCATACTCGGCGCGAGACAACATAATGGTACTAGGCAGTTCTTGTGACTGATCAGGAACCTTTTGCATTGGGGGCTCACTCGCATCGGCATAAGCAACCTGTGGACGAAGCTCGGGATGTAGAGTATAACAATATGCCTCAGTATGGCCAGCTCGTTGACAGTGGTTGCAATAACGTGAACTTCCAGCACCCCTATTGCCTTCACGGCCACTATTTGGAGAGAAACCAGATTTGCCACGGCCACGGGAACCACGCCCCCGGCCTCCACGACCACTAGAAGACTGAGAAACCATAGCACTTGCTACAG